GTGTTATTGGTGTTATTGGTGTTATTAGTGTTATTGGTGTTATTGGTTTAATTTCACAAGGTGCACAGGAGGTAGTCTCAATGATGGTACAAACATTAACAAACTTTCTATAAGTCAAAATAGATGTAAGTAGCCAATGAGAGGACAAAATTTGGTTATGAAAAAAATTTGACTTTTAATTAATAATGAATTGTATTTATTATATGTATATTCTCAGACCACATCCCACCCCACTCGCGCGTGCGTAGGACACGATTACAAACAGTAGCTAAATCATGAATTTTTAATGTGCCATGTCGCCGATAACAACACCACTTTATTTCATATCATCATCATTACATCATTGTCGACCGGCTCTGTATGTTTGAAAAAAAAAGTGCGCATGTGACCTTCATTTCACCTGATGGAAAGTAACGATGTTGCAAGCACACCTAAATAATGCTCATTCACTCGCGCCTTGAAAAGGTCAAAGTTATAGCGTTCGGTATACCCGAAGTATAAACTTGTATACCTAAACAAAAACATCCCCCAGTAAAAAACTGAAGCTTCCAAAGCCAATGTAAGTTGTTAATCGATAGGGTCAATGCAAATAAGTAAACCTTGGTTGTAATTATGTTACTCACTCGAACACTGAAGATGTCTCCATGCACCCAAGCTCGTTCCTGTATGATATCCTTAATAGATACACCGGTGGAAGCGATAAGCTTGCATAACTCTGCTATTCCACCTGGCCTGTCACTAACGTTCACTTTGAATTTGACTAAACGGTGTTCCGCTGCCAGTCCTCGTTCGAGACACCGCCCTAGGATTGTGGTGTCTATGTTACCTCCGGATAGTATGCATACCACTCTAACAGAAAGAAAAAAATTAAATACATCTTCATCTGGGCAAAATTCTTTTTTTACTTTGGTTACTTTTGAGTGTTTGTTGAAAGTAATACAATTTTTATTTATATATTTTAGTTGTTTGCATAAAAGAAGAGGAAGAATAAGAATGACGTGTAGTGAACAAATACAGAAGACGATCAAAATGAGTAGCCATAATGAGGTCAAGGAGCTGGCTATTAACCGTGAGCAGTGGAGGAGGATACACCGACAAGAGCCTGGCTCTTAAATAGGATGATGTCTATCTATCAAATTATTTGAATACAAAATAATTAATACAAAATACTGTTTCTTTTGCTGAAAACGATGAGATGTTTCTTCCCTGATATGGATAGGTATGCAACTTCACCTAAGCCTTTGCACTTACTTCTTGCCAACAAGTTCTGGGACCAGACCGGCCATGATAGCTGCGACTCCAACAGCCCCACCACCTTCCACAACATACTTCTCTTGTTCTACCAATCGAAGTATAGCACGAGCCAGCCAGTCTTCATTAACTGTAATCTGCAAAAGTTACATTACTTCGTCATCCATCCACATAAGGTCTCCTCTCTCCTAAATTTAGGGCTTAGGCGCTATTCTATGCATTAGGCTTAAATGCGAATTGGGGGCTGGGGCCTTGAAAGAGTGGTCGAACCTAATCTGACATAATTCATCACGATGTTTTAATTAACCAAAATAATAAGCAAATTAAAAAAACGAAAGGACTCTGTGGTAAAGGTCACATGTTGGAATAGAAGCGTGGACTTTCTACATAAGTTTAACTTAAATTTTATTATAAGGAGCAATTATTTTAATGGTTGATTTTGCTATTCTCCAATTCAAGGCGTTTTTCTCTCTCAAGATACTGGTACTTTGAGTAGTGAGAACCGATTTTTATTATCCCCTGTGTCAAGCCCCGTATAGTGGTGAACTAGGGGATGAATCCGGGTTTGCGTACTTTCCGGTAATCGATTTCAAAACTCGGAAAACTTGGTAATTATATGTAATTCCACATACTTTTGAGGTCGGTTTTTTTAGTACTCTGTTCTGAGATTATCACTTATTATTAAGTTCAATTTCATCACCTCTTTTGATAGAAGATAAGCGCACGCGCATGCGCGAGCATTCTCGAACATGCGCGAGAATTTCGCGGAAGATTTTGGCTTGTATCTAGTTTGTACGTTACGCAATTGATCATAAAGTTCATTATGCTATGTACAGTATCGTTACACAATAATAATACTAACGCAAAAACAAATAATTGTCAACCGGGACAGTTAGGAAACATGCGGATTAATGTTTTCATATCATTAAATTTTAGAGCATATAATAGAAAATGTATTCATTCCCACCTACAACTATATGTTTGTTTATACTCTTTATGGCTGATCCTTTTATTACCAACGGACAAAAATAGGAATATTAGTAATAGTTTAGGGTACATCTTCAAAATTACTGTTTTCGGAGATGAGGAATGGTGTTCAATAGTAACTTTGGAATAATAACGAACACACTCATAGCCTGCATTAATAAAACCTCGCGGATGCCATGGACACACAAACAGAGAATCACAAAGTCACGAGAGAAATAAATGTAGGCCATACAAATATTTCTCCCGGCCCGGGAATAGAACCCGGGACCTCTGCGTGGCTGTCCAACATGGTAACTGTTCAGCGACAGAGGCAGTTATGAAATGAATTTGACATTGAATTTGGAAGAAATTACGTACACACTCAACATAGCCCCGCACTAAGGAAACCCTGTGTGTGCCAGGGACACACACATAGACAAGAACAAATTACACCCAAACTCACGAGAGAAATGAATGTAGGTCATAAAAACATTTCTCCTGGCCCGGGAATCGAACTTGGGACCTCAGCGTGGCAATCCGGTATGATAACGGTTCGGCCACAGAGGCAGTTAAAACACAAATTCGATTGCATTCTATTCCGTCGCAATATAAATTGAGCCTAAAACGGTATGTCATAATGAAAAAATATACACTCACCATTCTGTCGAGCAGATGTTTAACTGTAAAATAAGCATTATAACCCACAGTTGGTACCGCTAGACCGTCTGCAAGCGTGGATCTAATTTCTACGCTCAATGGCCCATTATTTTTTATTGCATTATCCATGCTTGGGCATTTTTCCGTTTCTACGCCCTGCAACAGACATAGTAGTTTGTGGTAATAAAGTACTTCTTAGGAACACGACTAAATTAATTAATCCCCTAGTGATGGGTTTGCTTTGTTCAGTAGCAGTAGAGCTCATTCTGAAAGAGTTCGTTCAGAGATGTAATGTGAGCGTTTCGGCGTTCCGGTTTTGAAGGGTAATATCCTTCGAAAACAATTGTTTTACGCTGCTATGGACAGGCATGTCGCTTAACACCAGGCGCACGACTTGTTCGTCCAAGTGCCTTGGTATCATAAAAAAATTAAAAAACAGAACATTAGCTTTTTTACTGCCTGTCTACTTTTTTTTTAGTTTTTTTGCATTGGTATTCTTGTGAAACAGATGATGTGATCAAAACATCTGTCGCTATTAACACAGTGGTACAGTTTAAACACCAAATTAATATTATCAATCAATAACAATAATAATAAGTGGCGTGTTGCTTCTAGCACAAATGCAGAAGGCCGTCCTGCTCGATACGGCAAGTCACCCTGGCCGACAGTGCCTATAAAAATTCAAAACCTGTCTTTTAAGTCATGGGAGAGGCGAGAGTATAAAATAGATATTCATAATAATAATCATGTGCCAGATGTCGAGTATAAAACCATTATAGAGACGAAATAAGGGCCATTCATCACTGGCAACACATCAGGCAAATAGGCTTTATATCACTTTTAAATATCAACTCATTAGCGCTGAAATCACAAATTAGAAAGCTGAAGAAATAGTACACCGCCAACAACTGACCTGTATATTCCAAAAATGTTCTTTATTTATTGTAATAAAGATAATATCTCTGACAATGGGGGGGCCGTTCTATTCGGTAGTGTGGGCAAAACATCTCATTATAAAACAAAAGGACGACGACATTGACGACATCCGTCAATTGTTTCGAATTCAAGCTGAGCAATCGGAGCGCAGTTGTCACCGTAATGATTCGGCAGAATAGTTTTCAAACAAATTAAATGATATTTCGTCTCTATTTCTGGTTATATACTCGATGGTGCCCGACAACCAAACAAATTACCTGGTCTCAAACCAGGATCCCTGAACTGTGAGCAACGAAATTAACTCCGGGGAGACCACACCTAATACTCAGACCAGAATCAATTTAAAAACGTTCTTTTCCCAAATTAGTTATTCCGGGAATCCAACCCGGAACCGCTACAGCTAATCACAACAGTGCTAACCACAACGCACCGAGGTCGACATAATATAATAAAAATACAATAGAACTTTATAAGCTGATAAAAACGATTGCAGTTTAAGATTTATTACAAACAAACAAGGTTGTCGGTGCAAAGTCCAGTTAATTAGTTGACGGAAAATGCGTAAACAGTTTTTTGAAATTTATTACGGATGGATGTTATGTGTGATGCCAGACGAGCGTAATTTTGTGAGTTGGCAGTTGCGTTTTTTGTGTTTATATGAAACCGAATACGGTTTGTTTAACACGACGATGACGCAAAGTGAGTTTTCTACCGACTCACGGGCGTAATGACGACTGACCTTGTCGAAGGCGATGCAGTCGACTTGCCATTTACACCAAGTCGTCTGCAGCCTTCGGTAGACTATTTCGTTTTGCCAACAACCGACGGCGACGCACCCAGTCGCTTCGGTCGATTTCGGCTGCAAACTACCATCGTCAGACGACTGACTATTTACACCGGGTAGTTTGCCGCCATCGCGTCGGCGGGCAAACGAAGGTCGCCTGACGACTTGACGTAAATGCGATCGTTTTATCACAATGGCAAGCATTGTAGTGTAGGGCTTCGATACAATAAGATGACTTTATTTATTCAACATATGTGTGTTACAATTTTGTTCGGTGACTCAGAGGGAGAATCGAAGACTTTTTTGTACAAATTTAATTCTAGAACAAAAGAGACGGCACAAATTTTTATGTATGTATGTTTAATATAGTGTTAGTGCATGAATAATATTTACAGTTTAATATGATTTATATGGATGAATTTAAAAATAATATGATACATTTTTGGGTGAGAGGATAGGGCCAAAAGGCATTTAAAGGAAGTAGGACGAGGGATAAAGGGAGGGAGGATGTCATATAGGGAATACCGTAATTTAGGGCAGTCAAAGAATATATGGTCCACGTTTCCTTCGTCTTTGTCTATTTTGGACTGAGATGGAGTCGAAGTCCAAAAATGTAAACAAACAACTGTCACCTGTCACAGTCAAAGTGACATCTCATAAACCGTTTTTCCCGCGTTAGTTTATTAACAGGTTTTACTCTATTCTGACTAATAATTATAATAGAAAAATATACGTTTGGGTTCAACAATTCAAAAAACTTTTTAGAATCATCTTGTATCATAAAATAGTTTCAATTAAAAAATTACGAGGACTTGGGAAGGGTCACATAGAAAATTACGCAAAAGAAACATCTTAGAATATTCTCTATATTGGGAACATAAACTATGTTTTGTTAGTGGCTAACAGGTCAAATATTGACTTTTGTTTTTACTCAGGCAAACTATTCTTCGAACGGTTTTTTCAGATATCCACAGAATCTCATTAGTTTCGTTGGCACACTCGTACAAAGACCAATATTCTTTTAGAGGCCAGGTTTTAAATGTATGCTAGTAAGCATTTATTATCATAACCGTATCGGTTACAAACATTGCAGGGCGTGATTTTTTTTCTGCTTCCATTGTGGTTATGTTCACACGAACGCAAGCACACACAAACGTAACAACAGAGTAAAACCAAAACTTAACAACACGACGCATACGCAGTAAGGAACACATTCGATAACTTGGTACTTGGTGCAACGGGCTGGTATCCGCAACTCGACGACAAAGCGCCTATTTTGCGTGTTTTACATTCGATAACAACAGCTGCCACAAACCGAATGAAGAAAACTGCGATACACTGGTGGGGGTGCAACCCGACGACCTGACGCGTTATCCATCCATATCGATAAAAAACTGACTTTTCATTTTTTTATTCATTGCAATTAACGCTATTTAGTAAACAATCAATTTATTATTTTAATTTTATTATTCTTAATAAAAAAATACTTTAATTAGTATTATATAAATTATTCACACTCCTGCTTAAAAGTATTTTGCTTAATATTTTTATTTTTTATAGTTTTTTTTTATTTTATTTTATTTAGTAGTTTAAAATGAGTTTAAATAACAGATAAAAATAAAAATCGAATAAACAAAGAGGACAGCCAGAGGTTGTTCATCCCGAAGCATTGCCACTGGATTAAAAAATATTTCCACAGAAAATAGTTTTTTGAGATTATCTTATTGAATATGGAGTTTTAAATAAAAAATATGATTTGACAATATTTTGCTTGTACATGCACACAATTTAAAAACAATATCAAAAATCTAGCATTAATTTTTAGCCTTTTTCACTGTTCCACTATTCGTGGAATATTTTTTGTAATTGTATCACCTTTGTTTACATTTTTGGACTTTGATTTCATCTCAGAGTTGGTTTAAACATATATATACATACACATATACGCTATATATATACACATATACGCTATACGCCTTATTAAGGCGGCTTCTCTGCTGACGGTTTCTTAAGCCCGGATTCTCAAATGGATTTCGACCATTCTCCCACCCAAAATGTTAATTCCAGGCCTAAAAAACGTGCCAGTGATCAAGCATCTTTCTCCCAAACTACATCGGAGCAAACTCCGAAACGTTTTTCAAACGTTCTACCCAAATGCATCTGCCCAACAAAACTACAGCTTAACCGAATTTGCTAACGGTATGAAATTAAAATATAGTGAATCTGATAAGGGCCCATTTATAGTTCACGTATCGAGAGAAGAATCCAACCTCTCATCTGGTCTTACAATCAAATTACTGAAGTGTGCCCAGTTCCTAAGTAAGAATGGTATACATGGGATTGCAAAAGACGGTATCAAAGCTACAGGGCGCAATCGGGTTGTGTTACTTTTGTTAGTGCAATCCGCTAACAAATTCGTTAAAAATTCTCTTCTTACCACGAATTTTTACAAAAAATTATCCCCACATTTCACTTGATACGAAATGGTATCGTTAGAAACATTCCGATAGAGTGGACTATGGAAGAACTGGTCAAGTCCATCGATTGCACTAATCGCTCCCAAGCCATTAAGGCCAGACGTCTCAGTTTTGTGAGAATCTCTCTCCTCGTGTAAAATCTTCTTTAGTTTGGAAAAATTTTAAAAAGTTTTCAGGCTCTCGTGTATCCAATACTTTCTCCTGTAATGAGCCCTCGATCGATCTGGACTGTTTCTCTCCCTCCTTTTCCCCCAACTCTAATGATAGAATGGATCAACCATTTTCCTCCGTAGAACTGTCTTCAGTTTTGAACCACCTAAGAGACTCTACACCTGGAATGGATGGTATCCCATACTCTTTTATTAAGAACAAATCAAATTCCTCGAAAACTGTCTTACTTAATATTATCAATAAAGTCTTTGAAAATATTCCACACTCCTGGAAATTTCAAGTTGTTATCCCTATTCTTAAACCAGGTAAGGATCCAAGGGATCCTGTCTCATATAGATCCGTTGCGCTGTCATCAGTATTATGCAAAACATTGGAACACCTCATCAAAAATAGATTAGAGTGGATATTAGAGAGCAAAGGACTTTTATCCAGGCCGCAGTTCGGATTCCGTAAGGGTATGGGCACTCTTGACAGCCTCAGTACCTTTTCTACTGAGATCATACTCGCACTTACCAGAGGATTGTACTTTGTTGGTGTCTTCTTGGACGTGACAGCCGCTTATGACAATGTTCATCTCCCGCTACTCAGGCAAAAAATGCATCAGCTGAGTCTACCAACGAGGATGATTAACATCAGTTATAAACATGCTAATGTCTCGCTCCATCTCAGTACGTATCAATGGTTCTCTTCTCCCCCTCAAAAGGACATGAAAGGGCCTCCCACGAGGTTCTGTCTTGAGCCCCATCCTTTATAGTCTATACACTGCCGACCTTGATAAATCTGTTAAC